ACTGCCAAAGAGAGAACACCAGCCTGGATTGACCAGCAACACAAGTACGATTTTAACACATTAATAACAAAACTAACCACAAAACAAGAACCTTTCAAAGAGGAGAACTGCCACTGGATAGGTGGCAGCAAGGAAGGAGGCAGCAAGACTTCAGTGAGCAGAGGACTAACTAGGAACAGGAATCATAAGACGATACAAAGATCTATTTGTGGTGCTTGTTTACTTGTAAACTCTAATTGGTTTTAACATTCTCTTTCAAAAAAAAAATAAATTCATTCTTTGAATCCACTCCAAAATGTCAGCTTCATCTTTTACAAGCCCACAAGCAAGAGTTCACATTTTCACATGAACTCTTCACAACACACTCACAGCTTTGAAGCTGACCACCCCACTCATATGAGACTTGGCTACTGCTGAGAATCTGGTTACCTGTATTCAGTTCACCATCATCACTTCTCTCCTGCATAGAGAAACTGTGCAAGAAGCCTCTGTCCTGCACAGCAGCCTGCAGAATGGTGCTGTGCTGAAGTCCTGCTGCCAACACCTGAGAGACCCTCCTGCACTATCAGACTTCACTGGCTTAAAGACACTGGAGTAATAAACTATTCCAAACAACAGGACATGAGCTCTGCTGGGCAGCACTCATATCAATGGACCCTTCTCAGCAACAGCTCCCACCATGCTGCCCATCTCTTCTCACCTGATGGATGCAACACACATCTTGGATTTACCCATCCAAAGCATGATTAGTAAAATTGAAGGCTTTATATACTTAAACCTCTTCAGTAGAATAAAAGAAGCCTCAACTCCCTCACCTTGCCTCTAAAGTAGTAACAGCAGTTCGTGAAAAGGGAAAAGTCTTGAAGGATTCAGAAGAAGAAATACAGAGAGACAATCGCTCATCTTTTATCTTCCAGACTTCAAGAAGAACCCACTTCTTCAAAGAAAACCCAATAAAGCCCAGACATTTTCATCATAACAAAATAAATAATTCAGTCATGCTTTAAAGGCCTCCACCATTAGGATTGGATATTTGGTACATCTGTGGTTTAGGTGCCTCGAAGCTGATCAGAGATAACCTGATAGAAGCTTGCAATGTCAAAACCAGCTTTACTCCCGACAGGTAGGAATGGATAGTGTAAATAACTGTAAGTAACCAAAATGGTTTATGCCTCGTGGAGGATTTACAGCCTTCAGAGCCACCTGGTAGGACTAAGAGTTACAGCTCTGCCTTTATCCTACTGTAGCAGGCAAGAGGAGATGAACTGACATCCTCCCCACACCACCTGCTCTTCCCAAGCCACAGAGGGCTTAGCTCCAGAAAGGAGAAAGAGGATTCTGCCAGGAATAAGAGAATACCATACACAGACTGGCAGGTTTCTCTGTATTGCTTTGTCATGGTCTTCCTAGAAACTACTCCCAAAAACACATCCCAAAAGCCCCTCAAATCTCCCTAGCCCCTGTAAACTCCCTTAGGTACTCAACAGAGCTCCTTTTATCTTCCAGCTACCATCTGCAGAAGGTTAAATGCCATTGCCTTTGAGGGGCAGCAGATCAGGCCTTCAGTTAAGCTTTAACCAAGGGGGATTCAACTGCAGCATCCTGTCCAGGTTTCCAGTTTGGGTAATTGCACTCCTGCCTTCCCACCATCCCCCCATTCCCAAAGTCCCAGCAGCCCTACAGGGAAGCGTGTGGATTCAGGATCAGAAACAGGCAATGGTGTATCTCAAGATTCCGGCCACTGCAACCCCTGCACGACCACCAACAGATCACAGAGCAATCAACACACTCCACCAGCCTGGCGTGTGCTCCATGCAAAGAGAGGCTGCGCCAGGTTGACCAGCATCAACAGGAGAGGCTGTAGAAGGGCACCAACCAAAAAGCCAAGACCTAAGGTCAGGAGAAAAAGAGGGGAGAAAGGAGACTGGCAGGCCAGGCTCTCACCATTTGCCACAGCAGGTTAGTTGCAGTAACTCCAAGGTTAGTTTGGATGAGAACCCCAGAGCAATACTGTATGTCACTTGTCAAAGGACACATGAGCAAGTTTAGCTCATGTTCAGCTTCATGATACACAACAGAGCTGCTGTCAGCTGAGAACCTGAACCAGGAGGTGGGCACACAGGCAGGTACCAGCATGGATACAGTGCATGAAAGCAGAAAAATCTGCCCTCAAAGACATCCCAGAGTAAGATTTAAGTGCAGTCAAGGCAGCTGCAATCCATTTTAACACTGTCAAACACAGCGAGTTTCTAAAGGATTAAATCACTACTTAAATAATCTTCATCATTTAAAAAAATGCCTGTAAGAGAAGTCCAGGAGCTAATTGTACCAGTTAAATTGAGTGAAGGGAGGATTCTTTTGGTTGAGATTTTTCCTTCTTAACTGCAATAAAGAAAAAGCCCAAGGCTCTAAAATTAATAATCCAATAAGCTTTGCTAAGTGAACATTGTAACAGATAGGCCTGGATAAGATTTTCTGTAAATGCCAGACAATTTCCCTTGATCTTTATCAGCAGAGAGGCTGCTCTAGCTTCTGTGGGAAGAAATTCTATTTGGTGCCAAATAACAACATCTGGGTGAGATTTCACTTGTCAGACCAGCAATCCCTTCAGATGCCAAGCTAAAAATACTCACATTCATTCTGAAGGATTTCGCATTTGTACTTTTTTTTAACATGAGTGGTTAGAGTATGTTTCCATTCCAACAGACTTGCACTGCTCTCCAGAGCAGGGTATTACCCATCCTCTGTGCAGGATCCCTAGCAGAAGCTGGGGTAAGACACATGTGGGAAGCTTTCTCCCCTGCCAGAGCACACCTGCAGAAGCTGGCATTGCTTTGAGGTCTCCCATTCCTGCAGTCCTAAGCCCTGAAGCCACAGGGATCTGCCTTTGAGCAGAGACACCATGCAGGAGCAGGACCTGCAGGAGATGCCTGAGGACCACAACGGGCTCCAACAGCATTCCAGGACTGCTCCAGCATCCCCCCAGTAACTGAATTCAGCCCCAGGCACTCCCTGCAATGGGCATCCCACACTCTCCAGCTGTGCCAGGGCAACAGCAAGTTTATCAACCTGCAATCAGTTGTCACAGCACATACCTTGGCAGTGTGGAAAGAAGCAAACAGCACACTGGTGGGGTTTGATTTGAGACACAGCACCCTTAGAGATGTCTTGAGGTAGAAACCTGTCCCCTACCATCAGCAGGGCAAAGAAACAAGAAATCAGACTGCTGTATGTTGAGTCCAACTTCTATAGCTGGAACAGCCTCTGGCACTACAGCCATCAAAACACTCTTGAACAAGCAGCAATCAAAATACCCATCTCTCAAAAAAGTGTTCTTCTATTGACTTTGAGACTAAATTTAAAGATAGCGAGTCCAAACCACGTTATACAAGGTAATTAAAGTGAGCTCCTCAATGGTTCCAGCTAAGAATTCCTCTTCTTCAACAGATTGCAAAAGACCTTGAAAATTAGTCATAAGCTTTTTTATAAGCAGAAGTGGTCAGGAATTCTTCCATTAAATGCTTTTCATCCCTACTACCAAGAATGGCAATTCTGCATACCGAGGCTTTCCAGAGTAACATCAGCTCCCAAATCCCTGCGCACAGAAAGGGCTCTTGCTGCCAGGGTGGAAAAACAAAAGGGAAAACATCAGAGCAAGGGATTCAACTCTCCAGAAGAGGCAGAATGTTCTGAGCTAGAGCACCCAACTCTGCTATACTGTGCACAACCTGTAGTAACGTAGGGTGTCATTCCTACATGCAGTAAGTTCTCGTTGCAATGTTTGTGTTAAATGGTAGGGGAGGGAGGCAGCACTTTGTATTCCAGCCAGGTCATTAATTTCTGAAGTTAGTCCACATTTCCAAGGCCTAGAAAACCAATCTCTCAGTAGTTTTACTCCCTTCTGTTCAGAGGAATTGGAACTGAATAGTCACTGCATTGAGAAGTATAGGGAAAAAAATACACTGTTACCTCCTCAGCAATTCATTTGATCTTACACTGATTAAAAACAACACATAAGGCTTCATCAGTCAGTTGTGGACCAGAGCAGAGCTTTGCCATGATCTCTCAGGCTTCAGCAGGCTTTGGGTCTTGCTGTTAACGATGCATAAACAAAAACGAATCAATTATTCTGCAAAGATATCAGCATGAAGGAAAAAAACCCCATTTGATTGCTCATGCCTTCTTTAAATATAGTCAGAAGCGCCGTCAATACAGAACAATGGAGCCTCAATAGGAAAGCACTCAACAAACAAGCAATCATTTCACTACCATTAACCATGGATGGAATAAGTTTTGCTTGTGTAAAGGCCCTATAAAAATGATTGCAGATTTAAGTGACATAAACTAGTGTGTATCCACAGGAGAACAGTATTCGTCAACGATCGGGTTTGCTAAAAGGACAATACATCATATTAGAAGAAGAAAATACACCACGTTATCACTAGAAAAGGATGAGAGTTGCCACCATAGCATGGCACCAGGTTACCAAGCCCTCACATACCCCCTGCTGAGCTGCAGGGACCACACTTGGGAGCAAGTCAGCCTCTCTCATGGAACAACCAACTTTGTTTTGTGGAGGATAACAACAATCAATATACACACTTAAGTCAGATGCTTACCAAGCATTACACTGGGGTGACAACCAGCTCACATTACTGCAGCCTGGTTTGGGAACTGGCAGAATCAGACCAGATGGTGCTTGCACAGATATTTAAATGCTGGGAAAAGTGGGGGATTTATTTATTTTTACATTTCCACTTGAAGAGGTTTAGTCTTTAAATTTACATTTGCTGTGTCAGTGACAGGAATATTTAGGACAAGCCCAGCAGAGCAGTCATATACCAAACCAGGTGTATTATTTACCAGAAATAAACATACATAATATATATACACACACACGAAAACCAGAAAGCTTCCAGCCACCTGCACTTCTGATTGCGAGATGCTGAGGAAGAGGAGCAGAAGCACCTCCTCCTCCCTGGACCACCCCCAGCACCCACCTTGGAAGACAGCAGCGTTCTGGATGACAAGGAACTTGAGCTCCATGCTGGCAGACTGCAAGAGCTGCTCCATGTTCAGGCGGGCTGTGGCCTGGTACTTCTCCTCCATCTTTCTGGAGCAGCACGTGGAGCCCTTGGGGATACATACTTGAAGATCAGACCCTGGAGAGAAAGAAGGGCACAAAATTTGCTGGAGGAGTTGGAATTGCTGGGAAACAAGAGGAAACAAACTCCATACACTGGTATCACTGCAATTACTGCTTGGGCAAATCGATGACATTTCTGGGATTTGTCCTGAGCAAGCAGCTTGGCCGAAGGAGCAGACTGATAAGGCAGAGCCAGGATTGCTGAGCAATAGCCCCCGGGAGCTTGTTCTGTACTCCTGCCAGCACGCTGCTGGCTGCAGCTCCCACACACTCCATCCACTGATGTGCTGGTGCCGAGCAGAGGGACAGAGAGCATCACCCTGCTGCTCCCGCATGCTGACCAGCACACTGGTAAGGAGCTGCAGGCAGCCAGAGGGATGAGAGATGAGAAAAGGAGCCAGGATTTGAAGCTGTGGATTTACAATGAACAGAGCAATGAGCAGAGTTCAGCGTGCATGATATAACTGCAATTGCTATAAAAACTTCAACCTAGCTTAAAACAAGTAACAACGGGGGGGTGACGGGGTGGTGGGGGGAGGTGTTGTGCCTGCAAGCTCCATCCTTCCACATCCACAGCGGTAATAGTAACAACAGGATGACACAACAATAATTTACCTTTTTTAGTTCAGACATCTCCTGAATCCTCCCACCAATTCCACCATTCCATCCTTCCTTCACAGCAACAAACCCCCTCCACCCGTTCACCAGAACGGTACAAAGCCAGAGGAACATTGCTTGTTCTAGCATCTCAAGCTGCAACTCAAAGCACCGGTCAGTGATGCTAAGCTTTGGTTTTCAGACATTCCCAAAGCTCTCACTCCTGGAGGTACTAAACAATTTTAGGAAAAGTGCTGCTACCTAAAAATAAATCAAATCTAGAAAAAAAAGAATACTCATTGTCTGGATTCAGACAACAGGAGAAGATGGGACAGAAGAACTGGTCGTAGCAGCAGCAAAAAGTCTCGTTCTGGATCAACTTTCAATAGCAAACCGTGGCCCCACAAACACAAGCAAAGCAATGAGCTCCTATCAAAGCAAACAGCCCTCATCATGCAGAACATTCAACCTGATGCTGCTGTTAGAAACAAACCAGTAAGCAACAACTCCATTAAAAACAGCTATCCAGGGCCAGGCAGCAGCAAGGACCTCACAGTTCAGTGTCTGCCACCCAAGGTGCACTCTGCCCAGAGCAGGAGCAGCTCCCTCTTAGGCTCAGCACTGCTCAGAACCAGGATTAAGGAAGCAGGCCCCAGGTGAGCGGCTGACAGCCCAGACAGGGTGAAGACCCCACACACCCCTCAGCCCTTGCCCTGCCTTCCCCTTTGCCTAAGAAGTATTTTTCCCCTTGATAAAAGTAACTTTGGTAATTTACGTCTTTGCTCTGAAGGGATTACTCACCCTTTCAGGATCTCCTCTCCTTCTCAAGAGTCTTTTACCACATCCACTCTCTCACTAATTACCGCAAAGTGTCAAGTCACTTTTGTAAGCAGAAGAACAGGATTAATATTAACGTTTGTTCAATCGTGTACCTCCTGAGGAGGAGTCATGCACACCAACAAGGGAACACCAACTGTCGGAGCAGCGACAGCAGAAACCCTCCTGCCTCCAGCCCCATCCCTTCCCCTGGCACAGCCTGGGAGAAACAACACAAAACGCTTTATCTGCAACATGAATATCACACATGGAAATGAGCTTTAACCAATGCAAATGTCATCACTGCAAAACACATGGCAAAGGCAAGAAAGAGGCCCAGAACTGCATCCCAGCTGCCTCAGTTTCCCCCTTCTGCAATGCAGAATGTGCAGCACAGATTTCTCCATCAGCAAGGCCAGGTTGGACACAGGAGTTTGGAGCAGCCTGCTCTAATGGAAGGTGTCCCTGCCCGTGGCAGGGGGTTGGAGCTGGAGTTGCTGTAAGGTCCCTTCCAACCCAAACCATTCTATGATTCCCTTCTCCTGTTTGAAGGAAGAAAGGGGAAGAGGGGAGCAGGCACCAAGATAAGCCGTATTAGCTCACAGTCCTTGAAATCATACTGCAATTTGTCACAGTAGGTGTCTCTGCCCATGACAGGGGAGCTGGAACTAGATGAGCTCTAAGGTCCCTTCAGTCCAAACCAGTCTGGGATTCTAAGATCAGTCCCTCTGAAAAAAAGCCAGTACACTAAAGACTGACTCCCAGGGGCTCATGAACTAACCCACTCCAGAGGAGCACAGCGACAGGTATTTCATGCATCAAAAATAAAACCACAGGGACCATAAAACCACATAACAGCAAGACATGGCGTTAATGAGAGCAGCAGTTCTGTAACAGCAAGTTAAATAGGTTTTTTAAAGTCAAGTCCAAGTCAATTTACACCGCAAAGAGGCTTAGCATGGTCCCTTTAACACTACAATACAGCCAGAAATTCCTTGTTAATACAAAAAACTTATTTCCTCCTACATTTATTATATTCAGACACATTTCAAATTAAGGAAAAAAAAAAAAAAGCCTTCCATGTTTAATGGAAATTCCAATACAGAAAATCTGAGAGCTGGCAATTAAGAGATCTGTGCAAGTTCAAGCCAGGGATAGGAAGCGGCAAGGTCATCTCCTCACATCCCATCCTTCTTCTTAGCAATTAAGCCAATTTCTCCCCTTAAGTGGATTTTTATTTTTGTGAAGTAAAAAGACAGACATGCTGTAGCAGAGCAATCACGGGGGAGGAGGAAAAGCCTGGGAATTAACTCTGACAGCTTAAAACGTTTTACAGAGATAGCCAGCTAACACCAGTGACCAGAAACGTCACCATAAATGCAACAGGTCAATACAGGCTCTCATAAGCTCCCAGGAACAACATCCTCCTTGGCACAGAGTGCTGCTACAGAGGGCCACGGAACAGGGGCCTGACTCCCGTCTGCCAGCTATTTCCTGTATATGATATTCCCAGATGGGGAGCAGACCCTAACAGCTCCATCTGGAAGTCCCAGTGGTGAGGAAAGGAGGCTTTGATGCCCAAGACCCCAGTCCCTCAGGAGCCACTAACCCACCCTGCTGATCCCAGCCCCAGCAGACCCCAGTGAAACAGGGACAGCACTATTTGACTTGTGAATCTGTTCGGAGTTTATTCATGCCATTGCCTGGGGGACGCCTCTTCTGCACTCACGCTGCAGCAGTACCCAGAGACCCAGATCTTGCACCCCAAGTGCTAGGAGCTGTGCAAACCATGTGTGCTCCACAAGCGCGCGGATGCAGAGGCTCAGACACCTGGAAACACACCGCGAGCCTACGGACCAGGCACCAGCATGAATTAAACTGCCACCATGTTCTGGCTCCATCAGTGCAATGCAAAATACCCTGTGAGACATCAAATCCTACCCCCTGCCTCCCAATCCACCCCCTACAAGCATTTTATCTAACACAAACACCTCCAGTGATAGCTCCAACTTGCGAGACAGCAAAGCCCATTCCGCTGCCTAATGGCCCTTACTGTTAAGAGCAGTTTTATCTCCCAACCTACACACTCCCCTTCTTTAAAGTTTCAAGCCATAACCCATTGGAATGCCACTCTCATCCCTCGCAAACAACCTTCTCCTTTGCTATAAATCATCACAAATTCATTTTTGGAAAGAAGCATCCCACGAGTTACTCCAGCAGTTTGATGGAGCAGTATTTGGAAGCTCACATCCCAATCTTTGCAAGGCAATACCGGTGCCATGCTAAGCTCAGGACCCTGCCTGCTCAGCACCCAGCTCTGATGGGGGAGAAGGAGCTGGTGCAGCCCCTTCCATAGGCTCATGGGTGCCACCAGAGCGCTGGGCCATTCGTGCCACCTTGGGCAACAGCAGCGCAAACGCTGCAGCAGTTTCACACAGGACTAATCTCCACAGCTCTGGCAATTCCAGCAGCGCTCTGCCTCTTCCTCCTCCTCCTAATAAAGGGAATTTCTCCTGAAGACCAGGTAGCAGTGAATTTAAAGCATTCCATTTGACTTCGGGGCACGGTTATTCCCTGATAGGTGGCTAGGGCAGCAGAAGTGAAAATAGTTTCATAGAATCAGAGGATCAGCTAGGTTGGAAAAGACCTTTAAGATCACGGAGTCCAACTGCTGGCCCAGCACTGCCAAGCCCACCCCTAAAACACAGCAC